AGTTATTGTTATCAATTTTCTCATCAAAATAATCTGCCCATAACATAGTTATAAAAGTGGAGCTGATGAGTGAGCTAAAATTGCAATCTACCTTCTTCTAAGAGATCGTACAAAACTTGTGGAATTTCGTGAGTGGATATAAGGGACACACTGAAGTTATGATGATAAAGGGACAAGAAACACGGACAAAAATTCGAGAAGAGGTTTCAAACAACTTATGAACACATGAGCTAGGTACTTGTCATTATTGTTTTGTCACTAAGTTCCAATCGTCACATAGCAGCTGTTCGTTACAAAATAAATTATACTGACTATAGACTAAGAAAATATTGTAAGTCTTTTCATTAAGCAGTCAGCTTAGTCAACAGATCAGTTTTTTTGTACGGACACCCCACATTTATCGTTTCTATACAAAAAAAAAGAAAGAAAAAAGTAACGAATTTAGAAAACCTACTTTATTAAATATAAGAGATTTTTCTGGGCTCCCTCCGAAGAGTAGTATAGGTTCTATCTATCAACGGTTACTTGCATGTTTTCATATTATACTACTATCAATGTTCTCCTCATCTGGGAGTACAACACAGCAATAGCGAGAAATACCATTATATCACTATTAACATCCTCTCCAAAACCCAGGAAAGTTTTCACTAGACAGGGGGGCCCTGCAAAAAAAGGTGACCTTCAAGCAGGAATGGATATGTGATGTTTATACCCCGAGATCTTGGCGGAGACTTTGACCCTACCAACATGATATCTGCTGAACAAGGATGAAGTTGAGGGTGGTTTTTGGGAGGATTGCAGGATGCGTTACAAGAGACTTCAGTATCTTCCCAAACTCTGCAGAGGGTTCTTCAAAGAGGTGAGGAATCAGGTTCTGAAATTAAATGAACTTTGTATATGTTTACCTTTTATCAAGTTAAACTATTTAAAATTAGACATAACATCTTTTGAAAGCTGAACAAAATAATCAACATGATTGAGGATTCCTTGGTACTGATATATTCCTGTTTTAAGATACCATCAAAACAAAATCTATCAACCCTTTTTTCCTGGTAACATGCGAACACAAAGGAAAGTCCCTGGAGACGATCAAACGAAGTTTCGGGATGGCCGCATCGGGACACAAACTTCACATCGATCAGAGGAACTTCCCATGCATGTGGAGTCTCTGCTAGATGAATGGCCCCGAGGAGCCACTAACATAGATTGATGGAGGACGCTATCAGAACCTTGGCAAGGGTAATGACGGAGCTGGAGGAGCACTACAGGGTAAGTACCAGGTCAGTACTTAGAGGCCCTTTTAGAGACACTCTCGTGGCATAGAATTCAGAATGAGGCAGCAGTGCAGTTGGACTACGACGGCAGAGGATTTAAGAGGAAGGATTGCGGCGCTGAGCGAGGCTGATACGGAAGAATCTTAAACGAAGCTACTCGGTTCTTGCAATCTGCAAAGACAGCTTTAAATGGAGATGGCGAAAAAGAGAGTTGATCTGCCGAAAAAGGAAGCATAAGAAAGCAGGACAGTCTCATGGCGAATCTTGATAAGATTATAACAGAGAACTTTGCTGAGCTTGGAACGAACAATGAAACGATGGTTAACAAAGAATTCGTTTTCAACATCAAGGTGATATCTTATCCTGGCATACAAAAAGAATTTGAAGATCGCTCTTATGTCAACAAAAAACATAATCCAAACTGACACTTTTCGAGCCCCGACTTAGAAAAGGATACCAAAATCCGCAAAATGTTTGAAATATTGTCCTTAGAGGTCATCGAAGAATACTCGAAACGTGCCAAAAAAATGGGCTCAGTCATTTCTGCTTGCCTCCAATGCTACGGTGTAGAGACCTGCATATCCTAGGCTCATAGAAAAGCTGGTGGAACAAATCAACAGATCAGCAGTGCTATCAAGGCAAGTCAAAAACTGTATCTGCTAGAAGGAATGCACTTCCTTGGAAGGATCCAAAGCATGATACACGGAACAGAGACTTGGTGGAATTTGCAAATTCTGCGAGAAGATGCTCTCCTCCATTGGAAACATTTTGGGAGTCTGAGCCATTGAACCACCAGAAATCCTGATATAACTTTTCTCGAAGATACAACAATTCGGATCCTTGTCAAGCAAATAGAAGTCTTTGCACGAGCTCATTTCACACGATTACAAGATGTGTTCAGAGTGAGTCAGAAGAAAACTCCAACTATCACTATTTCAACGATACGGCCAGTCAGTAAAAATAAACGAGACACGAAGAGCCCTTTCTCAAGTACTGTCTTCCAACCGGTCCAGGGAGGGATTCGATAAAGAATCATTCTGCTACTGCAAAGAGCATTGATGAGACATTGGACGACATCGAGGAGTTGGTTCAAAGTCTTGGAGCAGCGCATATGGTCAACTAATAGAGACATCTCACTTCTCAGTCAACGAAGGCTGAAAAATCACCACAAAAACTTAACCTTCTCAAAGAATGTATGGACACAGAGAATGTCTATATCAAGTCTATTGATGTCCATGATGAACTCATCCGCAAACAGCATTAGACGAGGAATTTAGTCTTGACGTTCAAGTAACGGAATGCCCGAGATTGGTCAGGAGTCTTCTTAATAGATGATCAGCTGAACAAGAAACCTGAACACTCAAGTACGGAAATCAGTAGCCGGTGTGAGGACTAAATTTGCTCGAATATATCTTTAGGCAAGGATTTTGAGGTTTACTATGACTTTATCAAGCTCAAACCGACTGAAGAGATTCTCTCGAGGACTACTTCCAAAGGGCATCCAAGCTCTGAATTCGGACTCTTTGCCAGTGAATCATACGTCTCTGTAAGCCGAATGAGCGTTCTTTGCAAGATAAACTGTTGTTGTGAGGACGCTCTGACCAAACACAAACACGTGTTGGAAAGTACCCACAATCTACCGAGCAGTCCTACTAAGTGGCAAGCTCTTCAGCGCCAGTACGGAATCTGATCTTCAGGAGGAAAGCTTCTAGAACAGGGAGATCTCAATTCTATCTCTACGCCAGGGTTTCACTTTTAGGTTACTCCTATCCGGAGAGAAAAGCATATCTTTTCAAAGGATACCCTCTATCTTTCAAGCTCGCCAAGGAAACTTCTAAGAGCCCAGAGAACATAGCTCATTTGCACTTGGACAATGTTTGCTCTACTGGATGTTGATAAGTCCAAACTTGAGATCGGTTTCTGAATTGTGAATGTGTCTCAAATTTGTCAGCGGAAAGGAATTTGAATGTAAGGGGGCACATTGCGAGGAGCAGTCATGAAAAGTCAAAGGCAGCAACAGTTACTTGGTTGTTCATGAGTATAAGATTTTGTGGAATGGAGCTTTAAATTGAAGAATGTACTGGGGAAATTATTATTAAAATATTATTATTATAATTACTAAATATTACTTGATTTACTTGAGATTGTTTACTTTGTTGACGCAGCATTTTTTTTTTATGTTTATAGAAACAAAATTGGTTTTTTTTTTTTTTTTTTTTTAAATTGCGATCGATTGTTTTTTATTTGATTTTTTCATTCCTCGTCATTACTTGATATTGTGATATTTGAGAGTATTTTTGAATTTGATTTAATTGCAAATGTTTCATGGTCTGGTGTATATAACACAATTCTTGATGATACTATAATCTTAAATACTAACCGTCATTATGTGACTTAATTATGTGACTACTTAATTCATAAAGATCTTTGGATTTGAATTAAGAGATGTTACTCTTTATGGGACAATAGAATGTAACTAATCGTAGCTCCCGGCGGCCTGCCTTCTAACATTATGTCCATATGTCTAAATTCTTGAGTATCAATGAATGTCACTATCATTTAACTTATAATCGTCATTAATCAATAATTTAACGACCAGTCCTGCGAGAGTTTACATTTCATACATTATGAGGTCCACATTTTACAATTTTTCTAAGATGTGATTTCTGGGAGTGGTTTGTGTTCTTCTTTTGGAGCTGATAGTTAGCTTAAAACAATATTGCTATGGTGGCTATGGCAATTACAAGATTCTGCGTCGCTATTAAACCTTGAACTATACAGATAACTGTTACACCATCAAGTTTACGCAGCTGATGGATAATAAGTATTCAAAAATAAATCTAACCTAGACTTTTAACACATTCTATTTAGTATCCATACTGCCATTAAGTTGGGATTTAGTTTATCTTGTTTTAAGCTGTGTCATCTTCAATACAGTGACAAAAATGTTTCCTGTAAAGGTGGAAGGCACCTTTTCTCACAGTTCATTCTGAACAACAGTTAGTCACAATCACCTGATTTGAGGTTAGATATCTGTAATTCGTACGGAAAGATTTCTTGGCCCGTGATGTTGGCGTAACATGTGATAGACGTCATGCAGGATTTCATCTGTTTATTAGAAATATCTGTTGAGTGTATAATAACATGGTATCTGAGAGTATAATTATACAGATTTTTTTTTTTTTTTTTCCTATTCCTAAGTTTGTTCGATATTAAGCGGAAATAATATAATAATAATACTAAATATTGTATATTAGTAATAACTGAAACAGGCATTTTGATATGTGTGTTATAGTTATTTTATAATATGTGTGAATGATGTGTTGGACTTAAATACTACGAAACCATATGGATAAGTAACCATGATGGTTTAATTAACTAATACGTATCACAAAAGCTAAGCGAAGAAGGTTATGTTTTAACGCGTTACCTGAATTTCCATAGTACCCGAGCTCTCGTCCCAAAAACGTCCTACATATTTAAAATGTTTATTTCACCCAGACAATCAAATTTCTAAATAAACGGTGAGAAAATTTGTACGAGACGATGAAAATGCGCCGAAAAGGTTTCGTAAACATATTTACTTTTTCCGACATTATGAATTGGGAAGAATACAAATTTTCTCTTCGATTTAATTATAATGGTATAGTTATTAATTTGCCAATTGTTTATCAATTCAAATGATTGTAAACTCACGGTATAACTCGACAGACTGCGGAAAGCATGTTATCTTATTGTGTTGTGAAGGAGCAAGAGTTGTATGGTCTTCCCTCCAGTTTGAATGTTTTTGAAGTCCATACCAGGCGACCAAGCTCTGAAATTGCGCCATAAATTGAGACGCTGATAAAAACTAATTTCACATTCAATCTTTACTTTTAGTTTATATTGTTCGACTATCTTAGATATGCACATGAGTGAACGATCGTTTTTATGTGTTGGAATTATTCCAATTACATCCGTATGCTATAAACTTATAAAATTAAAACGAATCGGAAGATCTTTAATCAACTATAAATACTTAAAACATCTTGAATTACTTTAATCACTCTAATAATGATTGCAAATAACTCACGAGGTTATGTAACAGCCGAGTAGCTCGTATCCAGGTGGACACTCTAACTTTGTGCCTCCTGTTATAATGAGAATATTGTTACAATACATTTTACTTGTTTACTTAGACAAGGGAATATTTTAAAAGGTACGAAAGGTCGGGGTTTTTCCGAGAAAAAAAACACCATATTTTTTGGACTACCAAAATTTAGGTCACCATATTTTTTCCCCCAAATTATTTTCACGTATTTTCTTTTTTAATTATGGACTTTGTTGATTACTATCTATATAGTAAAAACTAAACAATATGATTCATCCAACAAATGAACACTAGTATTAGACCTGGGAAGTGGGAATACACTGGAGAGAGAAACGTCCCTGAATCAAGAAGATCAAGCAGAAATTGACTTGTGATTTTTCAAATTTCAAGTGTGGTCTGGTTTTCGGCAAAAAATCCCATATTTTCATTCCCAAATCATTTAGGTCACCGGAATTTCTTCGAGTATAAATATGTCTCGTAATGTAGTCGCCAATTCATCTTTTTTTTTTTTGCAAACTTCAACTTTTTATGCCAAACTAACCCTCTATTGTTAGCATTAGTTATTAGTTTTGGAGTAAAATGGAGTATTAGTAAAAGTAGACGTGAATTCATAAATTCAGAGAGAACTTTATGATGACCAATGTGAATTAAGAGACTGATTAGAATTAATGATATCAAAATGAATATGAGATCTTTAAATGAAGGTTGAACGACGAACGTACCAGTAACCCAATTAGCTTGCTTCAAGTGTTTGTATTTCGTAATCTCTGTGTTAGTTGAACAAGTTCTCTCCTTTCTACACGTGGCGGTCACCTGTATACAATATGAACTTACTTCTTGCTCAATTCAATAAATGATTTGAAAATTAGATAATATAACCGTTTCTGTAGAATCACAATTATCATGAAGGTTTTTCGACCATTGATTATTAATTTTTTAAATTTGTATCAGTTTTAATACTTTCAACACTACTATATAACAAATAATTAGAGGTTTTTACTGCGTTTTAACGAGACCAACAGCTTTTAGTGGGTTTATCATGTACTTTTCAGCACTTACCACTCTATAATTTTTGGTTTGAGTTAAGTAGAGAGGTCTCAAATCCTTTTACGCAAGGTTATCACTGATGTCTATGACAAGATGGAAAAGGTGAGTTAGAAACGTTTAAAAACGACAGTTTAAAGGTAAGAAGAAAGTTGGATACTATAATTGCAGATTCTTTAGACTTACCACAGGAATAACAGCCGGATTTGTTTGAAGTTATAAGGAATATACAGTTCAGTAGAGGGCCGAGTCACTCTGAAGACCAGGTCTATACTAGACACACCTGCACCACAGGAAGGACAGCTCCGAGGCACTTAGATTTAGTGAGAAAAGGAGCTAGCACAATTTAGACAAATTCTCATTGAGCACAATAAAGGTGGTCCAGATATTATACCTGAGATTAAGACCAATCTCGGACCCAGTGAGACTCATACTTTAACTCTGGAAGGGCAGAATGAGGCAGATAAGATAACAGAAGAACTCTGGTCCTCAAAGGTGAAGAAACATGTTGCATCAATACTGCCCAGCATCCCTATTAAGGGGGTCTCAGGTGTCAAAGAAGGCACAGCAAGGTTAATATTCAAGAACAAGGAACTTATGGAGAAAGCTAAAGATGCTCTTAGTGTGGACTATAAAGTGTCTGCAAAATCCCACACCGTGACAATGCTTGAACCTAAGCTTACTATGTATGATCTCAAGGGAGATTTTGAGTCATCTGAAGAATTGCGCCAGAGCATCCTTGATAAGAACAGTTCCATTAAGAGTTTAGTTGAAGATGAGAACAACACTTTCAAGGTTATTTTCTTGGAGAAAAACAAGACCTGGGCATGCCTACAAGTGTCAGTGAAAATCAGGCAGTCTATAAGGGAGTCAGGTGACTTTGTACACGCTGATCTTGGACAGTACAAAGTTAAGGATAGGTATCATGTAATCCAGTGCTTTGACTGTCAGAGCTTCGGACACATGAGTGGCAGTGATTACTGTAAGTGTAAGAAGTATAATGCCGACCCAGTGTGCTTCTACTGTGCAGGTGCCCACAAATCGAAAGATTGTGAGAAGAAAACGGCAGGCCAAAGATCTAGTATCAAGTGTACGAACTGTAGCAACAGTAAAGACAAGAATGTCAAAGATAAATGCAAGACACATTCTGCAGCTGACAGATTATGCCCATCTTATGTGAGAGAGCAGAGTTATATCATGGCCAGAACGAGCGGATGTGAAACATCAAAAAACTCTTATCTCCAGTGGGCAAAGATTCGACAAAGAGAGCTTGGGATAAACTAGTCTTAGCCACGTTTAATGTTAATCGTCTAGTGAACAAGACAGTAGAGGTTCTTGAACATCTAACTGATGAGGGGGTTGATATCTGTTTTCTTCAGGAGACTTTTCTTAAGGAAGCAGATACTGCAAAGCTACAAGAGATACGAGATTATGGTTGGGGTATTTTATCCAACCCAAGGAAGCATCGTAGTGGTGGAGGAATAGGTATGATTTTCAATAAGAACCTTAAGTTGAAAAGCAACGGTAGAGTCAAGAAGTACAAGTCTTACCAAGTCATGGAAGTTATACTTGAAACAAATAGTGGGATAATCAGACTTATTGATGTGTATAGACCGCCTTACACCAAAAAGGCCAGGTACACTGAGTGCCACTTCTTGGAAGAATTCAGTGAATACCTGTGTGATTTGTCCGGTAAGCCAGGAACCCCGGTGATTGCAGGGGATTTTAATTTACATGTTGAAAGACCTAAAGATCTTTACCCCGCAAAGTTTCTTTCCCTTCTTGATCAGCTTGGTTTCATCCAATGTGTACCACTAGAAAGAACTCACAATCAAGGAGGAACTCTTGACCTCGTGATAACGACCAAAGTCTTCAAAGACTCTATAACTTCTATCAACATTGTGGAATCTGGGACTAGATCAGATCATTTTCTTGTTAAATTTGTAGTGTCTGTGAGCCTGAAGACCTCTTTGAATGATACTAGGGTGATGAAATACCGTGATTTTAAAAGTATTGTGGTTGAGGATTTTAAAGCAGATATTTTGGTTTCTGATCTCTGTAAAAGAGATGCTTGGTGCTCTGAGAGTCTTGATGAGTCAGTTAAGATGTACAATAGTATTCTATTGGAACTTATGGACAAGCATTGTCCTGTGATCAGTAAGGAGATGAAGAGTGAAGACAAAGGTAAACCTTGGATGGATCAGGATCTGAAAGCTTTACAGAGGCAGAGGAGAGCAGCTGAGAGAGCCTGGAGGAAAGGCAAGGGACAGAAGGATATTTTTGTCAACCTCAGGAACAAATTTATTGTCATTGAGCGACAGAAGAGGATTACTTACAATAGAAAAGCCCTCTTAGCCTCTGCGGGAGATACGAAGGCTCTGTACAAGAAAGTTTATAGACTCACGGGTGAAACTACCCAAGAAAGGCCACATGGTAATGACACTAAAAAACTTGCAGAAAGTTTTAAAGTTTTCTTTGCTGATAAAGTGAATGATATCAGACTTGGGATAGAAGAAGAAGGAAGTCATATCGGAGGGAACTTGTCATCGTCAGAGAATCTTGAAAGTACCTATTCAGGGCCATCATTTGATAAATTTCACTCCATCACTAGGCAGCACCTGTTACACACCATTTCTAAGATGTCTAACAAGTTTTGTAGTCTTGACCCTATTCCAACTTTCATGTTGAAGAAATGCTCTCAGGAGTTGGCACCGATCCTCCTGCACATAATAAACGGTTCTATGTCGCAAGGTGTGTTTCCAGCCGAGATGAAGACTGCACTGGTCAAGCCCACTATCAAGAAGAAGAATGCTGATCCAGATATTCTGAAGAATTACAGACCAGTCTCAAATCTTGCAGTTATGTCTAAACTGATTGAAAAAATTGTACTTGAGCAGTTGAACAATCACTTACATTTGAACAGTCTGCATTGCCCAGTTCAGTCTGGATACAGAGCGAACCACAGTTGTGAAACCCTGATGGTCAGGATGGCAGACGATATTCTTAAGGAAGTGCAGAAGAACAACATTGTGATTGTAGTCCTACTTGATCTCTCTGCTGCTTTCGACACGATTGATCATACAATCCTTCTTAAGAAGCTGGCAAAAGATTTTGGTATTAAGGACTCTGCATTGAAATGGTTTAGTTCATACCTCTCAGGCAGGTTTTTCAAGGTTAAGTTAGATGACTCATTATCTGACTTCCTGTGTCTGTTGTTTGGGGTACCCCAGGGCTCTCTATTGGGACCTATCCTGTTCATCTTATACATTAAGCTGCTCCAGGAAATAGCTAGAAAGTATGGTCTCGATATACAGCTTTATGCAGATGACTCACAACTTTATATAGCTTTCCACCCGATGAGACCCATGGAGCTGCAGAATGTCACTAGTAGGATCAATGACTGTCTGTCTGAAATCAAAGTATGGATGGTTAATAATTTCATGAAACTGAATGAGAGCAAGACAGAATTGTTAGTCATTGGAAAGCCTTTGGTACTGAAGAAGTTTGACCTTGAAATAACAATAAAGTTTGGTGACACCATCATTACACCAACTGTATGTAAAAACGATACCTGGAAGAGTCTTGGAGTGTTACTAGATGAATCTCTCAACATGGAAAGGCAGATAAACAACGTTAGGAAGAACTGTTGTTGGACAATGAATAATCTAAGAACTATCAGAAAGTATCTAGATGAGAGAGTTAAGCTCATGCTGGTCAAACAACTGATCATATCAAAGCTGGACTATTGTAATGCCCTTTACACGAATCTTTCAAAGACTAGAGTGAAGAAGCTGCAATCTGTTCTAAATGCAGGGATACGTTTCATTTACGACATCTATGACAGAAATACTGACTTGTCTCCTTTCTACAAGAAAGCTCATATCCTCCCTGTTGAAAAGAGGATATTTTTCAAAGTGTGCCTCATCTGTTTCAAAGTGGCCCATGGATTGGCACCAATGTACCTCCAAGAGTTGGTTCAAATGAACAGAGATGATAAGGCTGTCAAAGAAACCAGAACAAAAACAGCATGCAACCTTCTTACCTAAGTTCTCTAAATTGAAGGCAACTAGCAGGCGGTTCAGCAACTATGCACCTGAATCATGGAATTCTCTCCCTCTTAATGTCCGTAACATCGAGAATATTGTCTCTTTTAAGGGTAAGTTAAAGAACTATTTGTATGATCAGCTATAGCCTGGTTAAGCTATTTTTTGTGGCTTCTAGTCTTTTTTGTGTTATTTTTTGTTTTCCGAGTATCCACTTCTTTTTTTTCTGGTTTTTATCGGTGTGTCAATAAAATCAATTATGTAATATGTATACTTTAACCATTTTTCTGCGACAGTTAATCTGATATTATCTCTTTAACATTATTTAGTATTTTTTGATTTATGAGACCCGTGTTTTGTTTTTAACTTTCTGCTCCGAGGAGGAGAGAAAGTTATTTGAGGAGAGCCGCTCAGACATGGGTACCGTATTGTATAAATTATTTAGTTATCTTTATACAATATCTTTGTCGCATAGTAGCGGGGTAGTAAATACAGTGTTTCGTTTCGTTTCGTATCATGTAAAACACGCAATCAGAACTTACATCGACATGTTTTCTGGAGGACGCGGACATAGACACATAGCAGGAGTCCTTGTAAATTGTTACACCGTCCAGAATAGAAGACATCGGATAGTTGGAGTAGCAATCAACTGCCTGTCAAGCACTTTATCAATATTACTTTTATACATTAACTAAACTTAACAATATATATATATATATAATACACTCAAAAACCCTGTTATGTATTTTTAATTTAATTTCATTGATTTGATGTACGCAATCAAATCTTGTCACAGAGTTTAATATCCTTTTCTTAAATATTTTTTATAAGCTGAGAGCTCAGTTCTTTTTACCTGCTGGCCTCAAGTGTAAAATGCGAAAAATGTCTTCCTTTAATTCAAAAATGTATGAGGGCATGATGTAAAATAACTACTAAAGTTCGAATTTGAGGTATTCTTATTTCTTACGAATTAGCCAACGCATTACTCATCACCTCTCAGAAAAGAAGAGGTGAAGTTTTACTTTCTCATAAACCTTCCCTGTTGCACAAATATCAGGATCACTCTGCCAAGTTATAAATCAACATCATAAACTTTATAGAGTGATCCTAATATTTGTGATATTAATGCTAGATCGCCACTGAAACAGGATGAGAAAAATGCCACCATGGTGGCACTCACCAAATATTTCAAAAACCGTGCAATTGGTACCACTAGAAACATGGCTAAACATGGCGCCATCGGTCAAACTAAAATTTGCGACAAAAGCCATCGGTTGCAGATTTCAGTGATGATTAACATGATTAAGAATGAAAATAACGAGCCAGTGGAGTTCTGTTAACAAACCTTGTAGCCATTTGCACATCTTGCTGTTGCAAATTTGTCATCCCCTATCGCTGTTGTTGTTGCAGTTACAGTAGTCTGTTGCCAACAATCCTTTAATGCAGCCTGGGATCCTGAAGAATAGCAAGTGCTGATGAGGTTTGAACAAAATCTCATTTAATGAGCGGAATAACACAACAATTGTTTACAACCTAAATTCTGTATTTCATTTTACCAGGTTGAGAGGAGATGTCCTCAGAAGCTAGCTTAACACAGAGACTCCTAGAGACCACTGCAGCAACACAGTTCGGGTCCTCATCACACCAATTCTGACATGTCAAGTAGTCTGTAAACTGCTGCTGTCCCAACTTGTGGGACGTGGGGTAGCTACCTGTACCGCCCTCCCAGCATGATGAGTCTGGGAGAAACATGGGTTATGGGGTGTCTGGGGAGGAAGCATGGGTTATGGGGTGTCTTGGGAGGAAGCATGGGTTATGGGGTGTCTGGGGAGGAGACATGGATTATGGGGTGTCTGGGGAGGAAGCATGGGTTATGGGGTGTCTAAAAAAGAAGTATATACAACTACATACCTATCTAACAAGAAAATAAATTAACTTAAGATGAAGATGACGCTATTAGTAAAAACTTACCGGAGGATTGAGCAAGACAAAATTTGTCTCTTTTAAGACTGATTATAAGGAATAAGATAACCTTCAAATAGGGTCTTATCATGCCTGGGTTTTACAAATAAAGATATTGAAAAAAACTTAATTTTAATTACAAATCAGGATTAATTTAATGTCAATACTGCTAGTTGGATAGTATCCGGTTGAAAGAGACAAGGACAAATAAAAGTTAAAACAGGAAGTTAGGAATGTAGGCAAATTTTCGGCGTCAACACCATCTTCAGGCTATATAAATAGGTAATCATGAGACTAATAAACAGCGAACTATATATAATACTCCAACATTAATTGTTAAATGTTAATGACAATAGTAGTCAGGTATACAAATTATGATGAGCATATAAATAAAAGAGTTAAAAATTGAAGGGAAATGCATGACTGTAATATAACCATTTAAGCCAGTTATGAACTATCAGTGATTAACTACTGAAAATTTGGTATGGATAATACCAATACTTATAGCGTAACCTGGCGTGCGGCTGGGATTTCACTATCGCAGTTGAAACGGTGCAAAATTATTAATCCGCTCAGTCGAAAACACGCATCAAATAAAATTCCATGTGACAGAAAAACATACCTAAAACAAAATTATGAAACATCACCAGATGTAGAGAACACACTTAAATATATTTAACGTATTGGAACGGAATTTTGTGCTCCAATTAAGCTTCCTAGTGGCGGGTAAAAAAGGGTAATAAATAAAATTAAAATGAACATGGTACATTCAATAAAATAAAGTGATGCCATTGATACTGAAAATCGAAACTGAAGGAATAAATAGATAAATAAAAGGGAGATTATTATTATTCCTCCAGCTGATTAAGAATCAGCTGGAGGAAAACACTGAAAATGCGTATGAAAGCTGATGATGAACCTACACAAATATACACAGGCTAAAAGCGAAATAATAACATGTGTGTACACGCTAATATGTACACAGTAGAATGTACATATAATTCATAAATAAACACTAGAGTAGCTACGCAACGCTCGAGCTAATGGTCTGAAGAACATCTATAATGCTCAGTGCTCACTTGTGGACAATGACAGATAAACTTATAAATCTCAGCCTTGGTTCGGTATTCAACATCCTATTATTGCTTTACTCAGTTTAAACTATCATAATATGTAATATATGTTTCAGAAAATTATGTAATGTAACGTGATGGAGGTTCTTTAAGCGGGAAATTCCAGTCCAAACCCTGGAAACATGACATAAAGGATTTGTTTTACTTGTTGCATGAAAAGCACTAATAACTAAGTCAGCAGAACAGGTCCAGAGAGTTTCATGCGGGTACCTACACTCTACAGACTAGAGTGCAAATTACAACTGCAAGAGGGTTGTAACCTTTTAGTTTTGCTATTTACTATTTTGTGTTTCTCTTCTTGTATTGCAGTCGACCTTCCTTCAGTATTTTGATGTGTTTAATCTACATAGCCGGACTTAATCTTTTCTGAGATAAGCAAAATACTGGGGTCATAACATAGTGACTCCACTTCAGAAAATGCATTCATACTTAGTTACTAACTTTATTTTAAAACAATTGCAATATAGTTGTAAATAGATTTATCCAAGTTTTAATTAATGCTTGACAACATTTATATATATGTATTATAAATATACAAAACAATATCACGTCAGTCTTTATGATTAGAAAGTGGATTTGTTCGTTCCACGCGAAACCTCCCCATAATATGTGTTAAAATTAAACCGAGTTTAACTTTAAGCCTTCAAACAAAACAAAAAAATATAGAATCATGCTGCGTTATCATGCAAATAATGAATAAAGCTTGCTAGCAGATTTAGTGCAAATTATCAGGTTTAAAATAATCATTCTTAAATTGTTTGTCTCGGGGAGTTTTTGACTATTGTAGTCGTACAAAGTCCGACGTTTAAGTGGGATCTGAAACCTTTTAAATTGTGTGTTTCGTTACATAAAATTCGTACTAGTAATAGTACTACACGAAATTTATTCTTCGGAATTTCAGTAGTTATGTATTTTTAGATCTATAAGATCCGTTGAGGTTTCCCAACAAAACGCTGCTTCTCAAACTAAAAATTGTGACATAACGCCGATAGTTTGCTCATACTCATACTCATATTCTCGTAGAGACACTGTTATATTATTACTATTCGGCTTTCGCATATTCTCAATGAAGCATCTAACATCACCGTGTACCTAACATATTTGAACTCTGGTCTCTGTATACTTGTTAAATCTTAATAATGTCATTGTAAGACTAATCTGCAGGATTAAGTGAACAATTTTAACTTATTTTGAAACTTGAGCACTTACGAATGGTCATGAGTTATGACATATACGCGATTTTGAATTTATTATGCCTTTTTCTACACACAGTCTAGCTCAGAAGACATATGTTAATTCGCCTATGTTGCCCGCATTTTGCTTTACTTTGAAATGGCTAGCTTGTCATACAACACATGTCGCTATTGGCGATTGCTTGGCGCAATATGTGTCAAGTGATCAGTACATTTTCTACTCATTAATGCCATTTATACATGACAAATTTCGAATATGGTGTAGGCACAATTATGCTATGGCGATTGGGGTATTCATTAAACTTCGTTTGATTCAGAAGTAAGATGCGACGCCATTCCTAGTGGGAATGGCGTCGCTTCTGAATACAGGCGTAACACTAACCAATAATGACACTTGCACGTAAAGGACATTAACCGACCCCTCATCTAGGGTTCCCCATTAAACATTATTAGACGTCTGACTGTGTCATGTTAAGTGAGCAGTGAGCACGTAGCTCATAACCTCCAATAACAAGATTAAAACGGCTTTTGGACTGATGATCAGATAATGCTACCATTGACCACGTCATCGGAGATCAGTCTTAACTAAGTTACATGCCCGCAGTTTTGTAAAGTTTATATAGTGCGTACACGGAGTATTGGGCTCATTTCACAATTCACAGTTTAGTGTTTACTCTTTAGCTTTGTGATCTAATAATTGATGTATAGTGGATTCAACTTCGTTTGCTTCTACTTCCCATAGTTTTGCTGGTGCCCGCGTTTCGGAAATTGAACCCCTTTTTAATTTGATGTCATACACGATGAAATTATAATAATTAAGGTCATTTTCCGACGCTTAGCCTCTTGATGTTGCTAAAATAATTGTCCTATTTTTGAGGTATCCGTTGAAGTATCATCATTATTTTGATAGTATTGTCGAATCCGAGTTATTTCTATGCAAGAACTTGATTGAAAATTCAAAATAGTACAGTAATAGTAATGCCCAAATAAAACGAACATTCGGTAAATAAATCGGCGGAACCATTAAAAAATAAGTTGAGACGTGCATAAAGTCACAACCAAGTTAAAACTGCTTTAACCTCTAGACCTAGTCTATACAAATCTGTAGTACAAACTACAAATGGGTGGGAGCAGTATAACACCTTCTACCAGACGCTGCTTTATATCGAGGTATAGAACCGTGAAACGTAGAACAAAGGGAACTGTTAAGACCTTTGTTTGAAGCTTTTTGTTTTTCCGGATCTTGAGTATAGCCAGGAGAAGAGATGATATATAACAAGACTGGTACTCTCTTGTTATCGGTTATATCCTTATAAAGTTATTAGGTAAACTTTCTTTAGTTTGTGGAGTGGTGTACTTAAAGCTTGTTTCTTTGGAGTGTAGCTCGATCTTCATGCTCAAGCAAAAGCTGCACTGCAGGTAGGAAATCAGTTCTTCCGCGTAGCGTCTTCATGCGAGTAATTAACGTCTCTTCAGATAAATTCTCTTTTCCAAAATTAAGAAGGAGCGTCTTTACAAGTTCTCTAAGAGGGAAGCTAGAGCCTTTGTCTCACAGTCAGACTCCTTATATTAGCCTGAGAGACAAATATGTCATATCGTTGGAGTATAGGAAGTGCCACACTTGTAAACTGAGCTAAATCGGAGCCAATAAGTGTTGGTCATTTAATAGAGCGGGCCGGTACAGGTACAATTATACATAGCCTTCGCTCATGTCGATTTTCGTTCTACCAGCATGCAGGATATTCTGGATTTTAGCACAGAGCACGTGACTTCCTCTTTAAATTGAAGACAAGTTATTTAGACTAGAATGTATGTGGATTGTTAGACGTGCAATGTGGCACAACATTCGGAGAAATAACCCAGTAAAGCTAGACCTAAATATACTGTTACTATATAAAAACCACAGGTAGTAAACTTAACATAGCGATAAAATACATATAAACAGGTCATCACAGAAAAAGTAAAAAGTGCTAATGAGAAGATAATAGCCCTGAACGTCCTCAAGTTACGGAAACAGACGATATTGTTTTATAAGTGGAGACCGAAGTCTTGATAGAATCCTAGAATTATTAATGATGGTAATTAGAAGCGAGTCTCAACCTGATGTTGTCTTTGAAATGGAAGAGTTTTTTATGATATCACCTTCAAATAGAGATCTGGGAAATTCAGTTTTCGCATTTTTGCCGAGCTTGGTTTTGGGAGCTTCACCATTTGAAGCCTGAAGTTCATTAAAAGATTAAATAGTACGAGAAATCACAGTAGAAATTAAAATACCTAATCCTTCATGCCTCCAACAAAAAGGGCGTATGATTTGGCATCTGAGGTTTTTATATTCATTCTGAGCACTGTAAATATTGTTGCAGTGAGTGAGAGAGTAGCGAGCACTCTGACATTCACGTATGAAACAGAAATAACCCTAGAACTCTAGAAGTTAAAACCCATTACAAGCTATACCCACATTACCGCACTATATTTTTATTGCTTTATTTTATTACGCCGTTCTTGAGGCGTGATATATTCTATTTCATTACTCGACCTGATATAACGGTAATAGATAATATCCAATGGATACTATATCTATAAACTCGCAGCTTTTCTCGCTGTAGTGTATATTTCTTGAGTCGCTTTATTCTTGAGACTACCTGGTCTGACGACCAGAGGTGTAGGAAGCCCCCCCCCCCCCCCCCCCCCTCTTCCTACACCCCTGCTGACGACAGAGCTGTCACGTGATATGTCTATAATTATTTATTAACCCTTTTTTTGTGGGGATATTTATCCTTTAACAGTGAACGACCTAATTGTAAATGCAACCCTTTAATTATAGTGTAACATATGGAAAGGAACATTCGTATGATGTTTGTGTAATTATTATCTATTGTTTCCTGAATGTAATTATGTACAACTATACCAGTCTACCCTTTTCTTTTGTTTGAGATGAGTCTTTACCGTTTTGTAGTTCTATGCTATCTTATTATGAACCTCCCTCCTCCGTTTATTATGCTTGCTTAACCATGTGTACCACTTAACCATGCATTTGGTATTTATACAATATTATGATCTTTTAAGGACACACTGTCGACCGAGACAAACCCGAGGTACAAAGGGTACAAGGGATACAAGAGACCTATAGTTCTTGTTAACTCGTCAACAGATATATTTGGAGTGTAGTTCTAGATATTACAAGTTCAGGATAACTTCAACGGCCTCATGCGATGTACGTCAATGCTCGTAACTCGCAAAACCTCCTTGCACTTTGGCATACATGAGGCTTATTGAGGCGTACATTCTGCTGTAAATATGATTCATGGACAATATACATTAAATACGTTATAATTTTGCCTTAGCTGCCTGATCTCTGCAATTGAACATGTTCTTTATAAGACGGATCTTTTGATTGCCCAGTCGAGACCTCAAATTTCCATCATTAAGTACCCACTGCAGTGAAGCTTATGTTAATGTACGGAGAAGACAAACGACTACAATTGTATGTAGCATATCATTATTATAATAAGCATCTAATATAATATTAACTCTATAACTGTTTGCACTTTGTGTAGCAATAATTTTGTTTTGTAGTTTTTAGAACCAGCATAACCAAAATACAGGAGGTTTACTAGATAAACACAATCTTCTGACTAAAATGTTTTGACCTTTATATTAAATAAAGACGTGTTTTTAATAACATCATTATATACTCTTATATTTTATGACTTATAATTCGCTCGATGTACTTGAAGAAAGTTTCAAGAGTAAGCAGTGACCTTTGCGTTCCTTTGGTAATCTGAATCCCCATGCGCTTGTACAGTAATTTAATAAACTCAGCTTTGCAGATAACTGCAATTTCCAAATCCTATTAACCAGTAAAAATTCCACACTTGACTCATTGGTTGATGGATTTAATATCGTCACAGGAACGCTGATAACAATATAATTTTTGCTGTAGCTACTGTTAATGTTTGATGTTTCGCAACTTGTTCCTCATCTCGTACGCTTAATTAACCAACCGTGGGTATTTGGTTGCGGTTTCTAGTGCTGGGTACCATAAATAATCAGTCTGTAGTACCTATAATTATTATAGCAGGAACCCGTTTAACCCTAAAGTGGTGTCGAGACTCGAGAGACTAAAATAATTATTACCTATTTAATTTGCGTTTTTGAGACCACTTGGGAGTCCAAATTTTAGGCACTTAAATTCTTATTCCTTGGCCTATTTTTTATTTTTTCATGCTTATTTGAAGGTGGGCAGTTATGTCTAAGAAACAGCGTGTGGTTCGGGTGCCGGTTGAACGCATGTAAAAGGGAGGGTATACCCGTATTTCGCTGCTTATAGTGATGCAGTCCTAGGCCCGGTTAGCTAAGGCTTCCCCGTTTCTCGCTCATTTGTGCTCCGATGGGCTTGTGACCTCTGCGGGGGTCAAGTGTAGGATGAGGGACATGGCCGACCAGGAGAAGGTTGTTTTTGGGAGATAGAGTAGGGTTGGTTTGGTGTTGTGCCTTCGCAGTTTAACTGTATCTTTACCCTTTGCGAACTAATTATGACGTAAATTTGTGAACCAATTACACCTTCGAGAAGATACTATGCTGTGCCATAACAATCTTACCTGATCAGCTCTTTATTTTGTTTCTTTCTTTGAAGAGTTTGATGTTTAAAGCTTTAACTGTAATTCGTCATTAGCTCGGCAAAGATAACAATTGTTTCCAGATTATTCCCTCCCAATTAACGCTCTGTCTAACAAGTAGAACAACGCTAATTGCTTAATTAACTGTAAACCATGTGATTATAAAATATTACACCAAACATTGTGAAGTGATAATTTCAGTTTTCGCCGATAAAATCGTCACAGATATGTTAGCTTTCTGATTTCTCTGACGCAATTTTTATGTGGATTTTTAAAAGGCAATGCGCTGTACCACTAATTTTGTGATGACTTAATCATGTGTTAATTATATATCAGCTTGGTTTAAAGCCGACATGAAAATAAACCTATGCAGAATATTGCAGATCCCACATCTCTTCTTTTAATTTTAGTCAGTGTGATTATATTTATTGCGGTAGGTATTGTTACAAATTGTTGTACATTTTGCCTTAAAATCGAAAATTGTTTATCAAAAAAGGGGCAACATTTGGACAGCTGCTCAGGTCTGTAACGGACCGTTGTCCGCTGGTAACATTAAACACTGAGTAGCAACAGTTCCGTTACCATGGTTACACCACACTGGGTAGCAACCACTACGTCACACACCCAACAACACTATAAGTGATCAACATAGTCTCGAACACACGTCAATAACATGTTGAGTGGTATGTCGTGTACACTTGTATAGTTGTACAATGTACGGTGTAATTTTGTAAATGCTATACATCAGCCGAGCCAGCATATACTGAACGTTGCTTTGACTCGGTGGCCGATTAGTACTAGCGACTGTTCTTGGATCTGATTCCGTCGGGTTATTTGTCATATTTGCTCGATCATTCGTCATTTAGGTTACTGTATTTTCTGTCAGTAAAGTATTTTGTTGACTGCTAATGAAAAGTTCTGGATCATAAAGTGTAAAATCTACAGCAACATGTTATCCTTTTATTTGCATTTGCTATGTTTTTAACCAAATTTTACTTGCTTCTTGTATCAAGCATCTATGAAAACATTTTAAGTTTTTTACACGACTTTGAGCTTTGTTTACCACCTATTTTCTATGATTTTTCACTTGATACTCGCTTTTATTTTTTATCTTATTTCTGGTAATATGATTGATTTTTTAGTGATTGAAAAAGAAATCACCATCTGGTAACAAAGTTTATCACTAAAAACCACCTTTTCCACCAGTTCGGCAAAATGTACAACATCTCCACGTCTGACCACCACCAAGAATTACCAGACCTTGCAGCAGAATCACGAGCCTCAATCGGAGCGAAATGTGGTGGAATAGTTATAATGTTCATTTTACCATTCCTCTTCGGAATAGCCCCAATCAAAGCGTCTAAAATGAAAAACGCAGCTAGATTTACAAGCATTGCTAGCTGTTTTGGAGGGGGTGTTTTCTTCGGGACATGCTTTACTCACTTAATACCAGAGGTAAGCGGAATGTTTACCTGGGAACAAATAGAGATTCGGCGGGATGACAGGCTGAGCGCCGCCCAGTAAGGGGAATGTATGCTTAACTTGTTTTCACATCATGTTTAGATGCCTTTAGAATTTTAGGAAGCGAACATAATAAACAAAATCGAATTAATCTTAATAGGAATCGATTGGATTGCTTGCTGGTAGAAAATACCAGCGTACCTATTACAACATATGATTTAGGAAATAAAGAACGGATAACTATTGAAACAATAGTTTGAAACGAAACATTATTTAAGCAAAGAAAAAAGAAATTTCCCTCAAAAAAATACTGAATAAGTTCAAAACATATGTCCTACTTTTCAGGTAGCAGTAGAGATAAACCTATGGCGAGACAGCAGTGACAACAACTTTCTGAAATCTCTACCAATAGCAGAGATACTGGAGTGTATTGGTTTTGTGAGCATACTCCTGGTGGAGAGTATGGTGGACTCCCATGGGCATGGCCACAGTCACGGCCAGGTTAGTGCAATCCTAGTGCAGCCTTTTAACGGCCGTTTAACGGCTGTTTTTCACTAGAGAAGACATTAAAGATAACATCAATTACATGTGATTACTGATTAGAGGTCAGCTGTTGTCAAATAATGGTAACAAGATAAGAGAAAGCGGCCTGCAAGAGCCAACGAGTTCAAAGGAAAAATATGATAATTGTCTGCTTTTACAATAATTAAAGTAACCACATGGAATCAACACGACGGACTGTTCCGGCACAGTTTCAATTTCAAGGAATTTAAGCCATATAGAAGTGTACAAAGTAATGATGATGAATGCAATGACTTCTATGTATGTACTCAAGCACTAAATTGGTAAACATATACATTATTGAAAGTAAATCATTTCAGCCATTAACAGACGCAAATGGGAACAAGGAAGAAACTGTATCATTAAAAGAGATGGGTCAGTGTAATTTATTAGCAAATACGTTCTAAATTTCCGGTGAAAAAATCAACATGAAAAAAGTTACCTTTTCTGTGAAGTTCTACAATGGTAACATTTTATTGCTGCAATTAAATGGTCCGAATCAAATTAATCTCTATAATTACACCCAGGTGAGACGTCTTCTTTGAGGATAAGCTCTGTCAATCCCCCACCTGTAGCACAGCCCAAGGTAAATCTAACTTGAAGTTGAATATAAAACACCTAGTTATAAATTATCAACAGAAGGAAAGTCAAAAGGAGGCTGGGACCTATAATGATAATAATGGTACTCGACTCAGTTATAAGTTGAATTATAAAGGTGGTGCCTCATGATGCTGCCTGTGCTCATCTGGTCCCTGATTATCAGGGTAATCGTCCTACACACCGTACAGCTGCTCGATAGTATGGAGATTAGAGATATTGACAGTTCTATTATTGCACGTCACCTGTACTTCCAGACCGATTATATCATTAGCTTTGTCCAGCGTGGCTTTGAGTGGGTGTAATCATGTATTTGATCAGAATCTATTAAGAACAATGTGCGAAATGCAAATGTATTTTACCCCGCCAATTGCATAATTAATTAGGTACCAAGCTTGACAAATATTGAGAAGATCATTTCGGACATATTTTATTTTCACCACGCCACTGAAATCATTATAAATCCAATGTGAAATGTAAAATTGAGTACCTAAAGTAGATACGATAAAGTTAGCACATTGAAACTTGATACGATTCCTAAAGTTATAAAGGTCCCATAGCTTCTAATTACAACTTTTTTATCTACAGTTTAAGAAATGTTTGGCTGGAAGCTATATGGGGCCTTTAAGTTGAAACTATATTTCAGAAAAAAAGCGTAGGAGTGTTGATATTCGCACTAGCTGTTCACTCTGTATTCGAAGGACTAGCTATTGGCGTGGAAGCAAAAACGATGACCTTCATCCAACTTGCTGGAGCAATACTTATACACAAATGTGTGGTGGCGTTTGCTGTGGGAACCCGGCTTATAGACGCTGGATTGAAAATTAAGTGAGTTTTCTAAAAATTATGCTTTATAGGTCCACACATGAGAGTAAGGGAACTTATAAGTTATACGTGCAATATATATTGCATGATAATCATTCAGTACCTAAGTAGAGGATTGGTCCAACGACCAACGTCCATAATGGTCGTTTTAGGATATATTTGAGGCATATGGTTGTAAATTGTCCTTTTTTCAATATCTTTTGTTCATAAGTCTAGGATTTAACTTTTAAGTACCAGGTGAGACTAAATCTTTCAGTAGTTTCTGAGCCTCAATGCACAAAATAATTCCATATTCCTCTTACCGATGTTAACGTAATCAGAAAGATTGACAGTAATTCTGGGGTTTAATTGGTCAATAATGAATATTAATCGGTTGATTGCTGTCAAATGTCAAAAAACATGCCTCACCTCCCCACCAGAATCCACATCTATTAACACACCCATTCCTCAGAGGCATTCTAACGAGTTTGACGATATTTTGTATAAGTACGCCAATAGGTATTGCGGTAGCTATGGGGATATTAGAGACTCTTGCTTCAGGATCTCATACAACTATGGCTCTTGTTTCAGGTTTGTGGTTATGTAAGACGCTAAAAATTGTGGGTAGTTATAATATCCGAGAACATAAACGAGCATACTGGCGTCCAGTTACTGCAAGAAGCATAACGATAAGATTTAAAAATCAATCAATTCCGAGTATTTTGTCACAGTTAAATTACACATTCATAACTAAGAAGTTTTCCGCTACAGGTTTGATACAGGGTCTGAGTACAGGTTTCTTCCTTTATATCACATTTGTTGAGATGATCTGCGATGAGATCAGGGACGGCAAAGATATGATGCTCAAGGTGAGATATTTTCCTGTTTTTAGCTATATTTAAATTTATTGTACAGACTTGAAGTCAAATTAATCCGCAATACCCATGGTATCCAATGATACTGAAGATGATTTTCGTCACGAAATAAATTCAATGGTAAAATTTCTTCGCAGACGCTGTTTCTAGCTATTGGAGTACTTATCATCGCTACCTCGACTGTAGTACACAACTACAGTATGCTGATACGAATGGACAATTAGCTTCTTAATTAATTACTCTAAGTTTATTACCCCCAACCTCAGCAGCCCTCCCTTTAATCACAATGAAACATCATTCACAGTTGTTTTACAGGGGTCCGGACTCTAGGGCGTAAGACTCTAGGGCGTAAGACTCTAGGGTCTTAGGGTTAGGGTTAGGGTTAGGGTTAGGGTTAGGGTTAGGGTTAGGGTTTGGGTTTGGGTTAGGGTTAGGGTTAGGGTTAGGGTTAGGATAAGGGTTAGGGTTAGGGTTAGGGTGATGGTTAGGGTTAGGGCGGTTTTACAGCTGTCCGATTATTGTGGTGAGTAATGATATGAGCAATAATCACAGCGGACCGGACCTTTATAGAGATTCGATCGATTAGGATGTTAATTATGAGTTTTTCCAATTGTGTTTTACGCCTAATTAGAGTCTGGCTTAAACGTGTTTCTACAAATTGATCAATTTAAGTGTAACGAGGAACATCCCTATACCCATCCATAATATTCCATATTAAAATATTTTTAACACTAAATTATTATTCCGGTTTAACATCCGTTGAGCTTTTGGTATGTAAAATGTTTATTCATCGTGTACAATGCGTGAAAACTGAAAGATGCAGATTTTTTATTTTGTAAATCGAACGTTGAATAGGATTTATATTCGTTGAGGACAACACATCATTTTCAATTATAAAAATAGTTTTTTTTTATTTATTCGATAAACATGATGAACAATTAATATCAATTTGCCAAATGAAATAATCCCCGAAAATGTTTACATTGATGAATTGATGAATGAATTGATGACAAATTTTCATTGAGGGATGATAACTAGAGGCAAAATAAGGTGCTGTGGTTTACGAATGATATCCTAACATGAACCACCTTATCATAATTATCACGGACATTACGTTCACGCTGAAGACCTTAGCGTGAATAATTATGTTTGTGATAATAATGTCTGTGGCATTATGGTCCGGTAAATATTTCCATTGATTTTAGTGTGTGTGTGTCCCTAGTCCTACATATGCGTAGACATGTGTGTTGCTGATAACTAGATTAGCTTATTATAGGATAAATATTATCACTCCTCAGTCACATTCTAGAATTCGGAAAAAAAGTAAGAGATGAGCCAAAAAACAGATTTTCGTGAGTATCTTAAAAACTAAGCACTTGAGACCTTATATTGCTTCATAACTTGTTTATAAATAAGGCTATTGCAGTTATTTTAGGCCAATATTCAAGTCTCTAAGTCTTTTAGAAGCCGAGATACAAAAATCCCAAATTTTCGCCTGAGGGCAATTTAGAAATTTCGCCCTGTAGGACTGGGACTAGCGATACAAAATGGGTACCTATGACTTTGGTTTGGACTGACCTAATGAAACTGAAAGACCCTGTGTTGTCGAAAAATTGTGGACATGGAAGTGCACACTCAACTACACTGAACACTCTGCTACTAGTACTAGAGTAATAGCAACTACAAACTTCTGAAGCAAATAGTAGTGCTATAACATATTTTTCTGAAAAATTGTTACACAGAAGTCTTTACATGCTTTACTCACTTTAATACCAGAGGTAAGCGGAATGTTTACCTGGGAACAAATAGAGATTCGGCGGGATGACAGGCTGAGCGCCGCCCAGTAAGGGGAATGTATGCTTAACTTGTTTTCACATCATGTTTAGATGCCTTTAGAATTTTAGGAAGCGAACATGATAAACAAAATCGAATTAATCTTAATAGGAATCGATTGGATTGCTTGCTGGTAGAAAATACCAGCGTACCTATTACAACATATGATTTAGGAAATAAAGAACGGATAACTATTGAAACAATAGTTTGAAACGAAACATTATTTAAGCAAAGAAAAAAGAAATTTCCCTCAAAAAAATACTGAATAAGTTCAAAACATGTCCTACTTTTCAGGTAGCAGTAGAGATAAACCTATGGCGAGACAGCAGTGACAACAACTTTCTGAAATCTCTACCAATAGCAGAGATACTGGAGTGTATTGGTTTTGTGAGCATACTCCTGGTGGAGAGTATGGTGGACTCCCATGGGCATGGCCACAGTCACGGCCAGGTTAGTGCAATCCTAATGCAGCCTTTTAACGGCTGTTTTTCACTAAAGAAGACATTAAAGATAACATCAATTACATGTGATTACTGATTAGAGGTCAGCTGTTGTCGAATAATGGTAACAAGATAAAAGAAAGCGGCCTGCAAGAGCCAACGAGTTCAAAGGAAAAATATGATAATTGTCTGCTTTTACAATAATTAAAGTAACCACATGGAATCAACACGACGGACTGTTCCGACACAGTTTCAATTTCAAGGAATTTAAGCCATATAGAAGTGTACAAAGTAATGATGATGATGCATGCAATGACTTCTATGTATGTACTCAAGCACTAAATTGGTAAACAACAATGTAGACATATACATTATTGAAAGTAAATCATTTCAGCCATTAACAGACGCAAATGGGAACAAGGAAGAAACTGTATCATTAAAAGAGATGGGTCAGTGTAATTTATTAGCAAATACGTAATAAATTTCCGGTGAAAAAATCCACATGAAAAAAGTAACCTTTTCTGTGAAGTTCTACAATGGTAACATTTTATTGCTGCAATGGTCCGAATCACATTAATCTCTATAATTACACCCAGGTGAGACGTCTTCTTTGAGGATAAGCTCTGTCAATCCCCCACCTGTAGCACAGCCCAAGGTAAATCTAACTTGAAGTTGAATATAAAACACCTAGTTATAAATTATCAACAGAAGGAAAGTCAAAAGGAGGCTGGGACCTATAATGATAATAATGGTACTCGACTCAGTTATAAGTTGAATTATATAGGTGGTGCCTCATGGTGCTGCCTGCGGTCATCTGGTCCCTGATTATCAGGGTAATCGTTTTACACACCGTACAGCTGCTCGATAGTATGGAGATTTGAGATATTGACAGTTCTATTATTGCACGTCACCTGTACTTCCAGACCGATTATATCATTAGCTTTGTCCAGCGTGGCTTTGAGTGGGTGTAATCATGTATTTGATCAGAATCTATTAAGAACAATGTGCGAAATGCAAATGTATTTTACCCCGCCAATTGCATCATTTAGGTACTGCAAGCTAGACAAAGATTGAGAAGATCATTTCGGACATATTTTATTTTAATTTTTCACCACCCCACTGAAATCATTATAAATCTAATGTGAAATGTAAAATTGAGTACCTAAAGTAGATACGATAAAGTTAGCACATTGAAACTTGATACGATTCCTAAAGTTATAAAGGTCCCATAGCATCCAATTACAACTTTGATATCTACAGTTTAAGAAATGTTTGGCTGGAAGCTATATGGGGCCTAATTTAGTTGAAACTATATTTCAGAAAAAAAGCGTAGGAGTGTTGATATTCGCACTAGCTGTTCACTCTGTATTCGAAGGACTAGCTATTGGCGTGGAAGCAAAAACGATGACCTTCATCCAACTTGCTGGAGCAATACTTATACACAAATGTGTGGTGGCGTTTGCTGTGGGAACCCGGCTTATAGACGCTGAGTTTTCTAAAAATTATGCTTTATAGGTCCACACATGAGAGTAAGGGAACTTATAAGTTATACGTGCAATATATATTGCATGATAATCATTTAGTACCTAAGTAGAGGATTGGTCAAACGACCAACGTCTATAATGGTCGTTTTAGGATATGATTGAGGCATATGGTCGTAAATTGTCCTTTTGCAATATCTTTTGTTCATAATTCTAGGATTCAACTTTTAGTTTTAAGTACCAGGTGAGACTAAATCTTTCAGTAGTTTCTGATCCTCAATGCACAAAATAATTCCATCTTCTTTACCGATGTTAACGTAATCAGAAAGATTGACAGTAATTCTGGGGTTTAATTGGTCAATAATGGGTATTAATCGGTTAATTGCTGTCAAATGTCAAAAACCATGTCTCACCTCCCCAGTACACATTCATAACTAAGAAGTTTTCCGCTACAGGTTTGATACAGGGTCTGAGTACAGGTTTCTTCCTTTATATCACATTTGTTGAGATGATCTGCGATGAGATCAGGGACGGCAAAGATATGATTCTCAAGGTGAGATATTTTCCTGTTTTTAGCTATATTTAAATTTATTGTACAGACTTGAAGTCAAATTAATCCGCAATGCCCATGGTATCCAATCCAATGATACTGAAGATGATTTTCGTCACGAAATAAATTCAATGGTAAAATTTCTTTGCAGACGCTGTTTCTAGCTATTGGAGTACTTATCATCGCTACCTCGACTGTAGTACACAACTACAGTATGCTGATACGAATGGACAATTAGCTTCTTAATTAATTACTCTAAGTTTATTACCCCCAACCTTGCAGCAGCCCTCCCTTTAATCACAATGCAACATCATTCACAATTGTTTTACAGCTGTCTGATTATTGTGGTGAGTAATGATATGAGCAATAATCACAGCGGACCGGACCTTGTGTTTTACGCATAATTAGAGTCTGGCTTAAACGTGTTTCTACAAATTGATCAATTTAAGTGTAACGAGGAACATCCCTATACCCATCCATAATAAAAGTATTTTTAACACTAAATTATTATCCGGTTTAACATCCGTTGAGCTTTTGGTATGTAAAATGTTTATTCATCGTGTACAATGCGTGAAAGATGCAGATTTTTTATTTTGTAAATCGAACGTTGAATAGGATTTATATTTGTTGAGGACAACACATCATTTTCAATTATAAAAATAGTTTTTTTAAATTTATTCGATAAACATGATGAACAATTAATATCAATTTGCCAAATGAAATAATCCCCGAAAATGTTTACATTGATGAATTGATGAATGAATTGATGACAAATTTTCATTGAGGGATGATAACTAGAGGCAAAATAAGGTGCTGTGGTTTACGAATGATATCCTAACACGAACCACCTTATCATAATTATCACGGACATTACGTTCACGCTGAAGACCTTAGCGTGAATAATTATGTTTGTGATAATAATGTCTGTGGCATTATGGTCCGGTAAATATTTCCATTGATTTTAGTGTGTGTGTGTCCTATAGTCCTACACATGCGTAGACATGTGTGTTGCTGATAACTAGATTAGCTTGATTTGATTTGAAACTTTTACAAAATAGCAAGTATGCAAATGTACAGCAATTCGAACAAAAATATAAAATGGGCCGAAATGTATAAATGCTAAAAAGCGTGGGTCAGTGAAACAAGTACAGAGGACAACTTTCAGAACAGGAGTTTTTTGGCCGCCCAAAGTCTCAATAACATCACCTCCACCTAGTAATAAAATTATGAAACGTGAAAAGTGTGAAACAATCAAATAATAATGTATTTATATAATATAATTGTCTCTCAAATACAGACAACGTCCGTTAACTCTTAAAATACCCCTACAAGTACATATTATACTGATCGGTGTCCGAGAAACATGAATTACGTCATCATGGTGCCTTCTTAACCCGGCTACAGACCTTCCCGTTACGGATGTAGTGGTCGAGATGAGTCTGTTCAGCCCTTTTCTTCTTCAGGTCAGTTACCACGTTCTTCCTTGCTGCACGCTCTTCACTGGATCTATCAGGACAGATCCATACATCTTTGTGTGCATCAGCCATCCTCAGTCTCCCTGTTTTCATCAGAATCTGATGAACTGCTGTTGAGCTTGGGACGGTGATCTTGACTGGTCGGATAGCCGTGATACCTGGCCTCTTCCAGCCGACTCTAGTCGCTTCAAAATGAGGTTTCTCCCCGATCTCCTCCAATACTGCGGTTACCAGAGCTGGAAGCTGTTCTCCATCCTCTTCTTTCAGTCCAAACACTATCAGGTTCTTGCTCCTGTCCTCCTCTGCAGCCACACTCTTTATTACATTCTTCAGAATTTTACTGTTGCAGACCGCACCATTTGTGCTGTTCTTTTGTACAGCGGCACTGTAGCTCTTAATCCCTGTCTCCACCGTTGTTTGTACTGTCTCTTCAACTGACGTCTTAAACAACTGTAGTTGTTCGTCCTTCTGCACTAGCATCTGGTCCTGCAACCTGACCATCTTTTCCTTGTCTGCTAGTGCTTCCGTCTTGAGGCACTCAACGATTTCCATCATAGCGCTCATCTGACTACTCTGCCGTCAAATTGCCGTCTTATTATAGGATAAATATTATCACTCCTCAGTCACATTCTAGAATTCGGAAAAAAAGTAAGAGATGAGCCAAAAAACAGATTTTCGTGAGTATCTTAAAAACTAAGCACTTGAGACCTTATATTGCTTCATAACTTGTTTATAAATAAGGCTATTGCAGTTATTTTAGGCCAATATTCAAGTCTCTAAGTCTTTTAGAAGCCGAGATACAAAAATCCCAAATTTTCGCCTGAGGGCAATTTAGAAATTTCGCCCTGTAGGACTGGGACTAGCGATACAAAATGGGTACCTAGATGACTTTGGTTTGGACTGACCTAATGAAACTGAAAGACCCTGTGTTGTCGAAAAATTGTGGACATGGAAGTGCACACTCAACTACACTGAACACTCTGCTACTAGTACTAGAGTAATAGCAACTACAAACTTCTGAAGCAAATAGTAGTGCTATAACATATTTTTCTGAAAAATTGTTACACAGAAGTCTTTTAGGGTTGAAGGAACCTTTTGAATCGACCGGTCGTACAAAAAAACATGGGTTTAGATACCAAACATATTATAATGGCTGGGTGGCCTAGTTGCCGAGCTTCCGCCTTCTGTACAGAAGGTTCAGGGATCGAATCCCAGTGTCGCTCAGTCTAGGGAGTAGCTAAGGATTCATCGGATCTATGCGATCTCCTCGGTCGACTCAGCCGAATGATAGGAAATTTGATTGAGGGTTAAATGAGGAGGGGTGCCTGTGCCAAAAAGATCAAGAATCTTAGGATACTCCTTCAGAACATCTACAATGTAGTGTACTGTAAAACAAGGGTGGTCGAACTATTCAATGACCCTGTAGATGAGTCTACGAACTTTACAAATTATACAAATTATTATTATGTCAGGAAATCGATTTTGAACAATTTTTATCAATCGCGACTGAAAAATTTGGCACGTGAAATATTATTTCTTCAGTTATTTGCAAAAAAATAAGTGTTTTAGAGCTTCAAGAACCTTTCCAATCGATTCGACGTGCAAAAAACATAGATATAGACCCCTAACATGTTAGGAATGACATTATATATATTTCTCTTAAATTGCGCCTGGACATTTTGGTACCAAAAATGGGCGTGGCCAAATGGGCAATTTTCCCGATCTGAATTTTAGGGCTCCGAAGTTTTTTCGGTTCTAAAGACCTTTGAGAACCCCTTAAACAAATTTCAGCCCTCTACTATGAAATGCAGGTTTTGGTCTGATTTTAACCGTAACTGACCGGACTAATAATATAAGTAATCTAATGAGGCAAGGTTTGCAGAATACTGCACTCTTATTGGCTAGTGAAAGGTCCGTGAAATTGAAACATTCGGTCCGTGAAAAAGTGATAATTATGACCGATAAGTTATATTAAATTTGATATAAAGATAGTGTGATATTCCATGGATGCTAAGATCAAAGAGTTACGCAACACGAATAACGGGTAACCTTTGCGTACCAAATGTAATCTGGTGCACTGCAACTAGTGTTCCCATAGTAATCTAATGAGGCAAGGTTTGCAGAATACTGCACTCTTATTGGCTAGTGAAAGGTCCGTGAAATTGAAACATTCGGTCCGTGAAAAAGTGATAATTATGACCGATAAGTTATATTAAATTTGATATAAAGATAGTGTGATATTCCATTGATGCTAAGATCAAAGAGTTAAGCAACACGAATAACGGGTAACCTTTGCGTACCAAATGTAATCTGATACACTGCAACTCGTGTTCCTATAGTAATTTAATGAGGCCAGGTTTGCAGAATACTGCACTCTTATTGGCTAGTGAAAGGTCCACGGCTTCTTCGCATTGGATGATGAACATGTTTGTCGGGAAGTTGGTCGTTTAGCTCCGGACAGTCTATGCAACGTCTATGCAACGTCCGTGCAACAACAAAAGAACCGTCTATGCAACGTCTATGCAACGTCCCTGCACAATGAACACTCTATGCACACTCCCTGCACGGTCAGTCTATGCAACGTCTATGCAACGTCTATGCAACGTCCCTGCACAGTACCATATGAACACCGGCTACTAGCCGGCTACTAGCCGGCTAGTAGCCACTTTTGTAATAACAGCTCCTCAACTTCACATTAACAACCGGCTACTAACCGGCACTTGAAAAGTGGTCACTAGCCGGCTACTAACCGGCTACTAGCCGGCTAGTGACCACAAAGTGGCTACTAACCGGCTACTAAGCGGTCACTAGCCGGTTAGTAGCCGGTTAGTAGCCACTTGGTGGTTACTAGCCGGTTAGTAGCCGGTTAGTAGCCGGCTAGTGACCGCTTTCTAAGTGCCGGCTAGTAGCCGGTTTGGAACCGGCTACTAGTAGGTCTGCTTTAGAGCTCGGCTAATAGCCGGCTAGTGACCGCTTAGTAGCCGGTTAGTAGCCACTTTGTGGTCACTAGCCGGCTAGTAGCC